TTTTATTGGTTTTTAGAGTTATTTAAATGGGAATGGGGATGTGGGGGCTGTAATGCGGTTAGTTTTGTTCAAAAAATCTTAAAAATTGGTAAAGTTAAGAGTTTTGAATCTCAAACTTATCCTTAACTAGCTTTTTCTATTAATTAGCTTGCAGGAGTCAGCATTAGAGCAAACTTAAAGCCAACCAATCCTTAAAATTTCCCTTAATTTTTCTGAACAATTTTTTAATGGAAAACTGACGTAGAACGACCATTTAGAGCAAGCAACAGCAATGAAGCATACCAAATAAAATTACAAAAGACAAAAAATTATTCCAATAAACACACTTTGGAAAAGAGGCAGAAAATTGAATTTTTTTCTAACCACTTATAGTTCTGCATAAATTCAGATTCAGCATGTAGCAAGAGGCAGTCACAGGAGTGGCAATTTCGAGGGGATTATGGACGGTAAATAAATGGACTTTGTCCCTTTTTTGTTTCTTTTTATTCAATTTTGTGTGTGTGCTTATGGAAATATTATGAATAAATTAATGAAGTGGCTATTGGGAGCTAGTTGCCATTTATTGAAGTTGTTGGAATTGAAGAGTGCAAATAAGTAAGGCATTGGATGAGTTGGTGAAATGGAGCGCATTTGTAAGTTTTGGATTCAAATTATGGATTTAAGAAAATGTTTGCATAAATTTGTAAAAATTGTAGCATTTAAATGAAAATGGTCCGGATTTTAAAACCACAGCTTTTAAAACCATCACCAAAAACTACAAATTTCATTCATAATTAATTTTTCAAAACTTTTTTTCCATCAGTCTTTTCAATAAAGCTGTTCAGAATGTAGAACAACAAAAAATGCTTTAATAAAATTCATCCTTTTTTCCTTCACCTACGTAAAGTTGTTTTTTTTCTTTTTTCGTACAGATTCTATGGGTTTCACTTCCTTACCATTCAGTTGGAAAATGGACTCTGTAAGCACATTTGAATGAATCGACAACAATGACGTCGAGAAAATAAAATAAAGTAATTTAAAATTGATGAAGTAAGAGTTTGAATAGAATTTCTAAGGAAATATGAACGAAGAAAGTTTTTAATGTGAATTTTAATTGAGTTTTATGATGAAAAAGCTTGAAAATGAACCTGAAATGCGCAATAACTAAGGAGTTTTAATGTGAAGGCATTTGAACTGCGAACTCTAGTGTGAAGGCACCTGAACTAAAAAACTCTAGTGTGAAAACAGCTGAACTGAAAAACTATAGTGTAAAGGCGCCTGAATTGCAAAACTCTAATGTGAAGGCACCTGTACAACCAAAATTTAATGTAAAGGCACCTAAACTGCAAACTCTAGTGTGAAGGCACCTGAACTGCAAAAATCTAGTGTGAAGGCGCTTGATCTGCAAAACTCTAGTGTGAAGTCACCTGAATTGCAAAAGTCTGGAGTAAATGCACATGAACTGCAAAACTCTAGTGTGAAAGCAGCTGAACTGAAAAATTCAATTTGTGAAGGCACCTGAACTGCAAAACTTTAGTGTGAAGACGCCTGTACAGCCAAAACTCTTAAGTGAAGGCGCCTGAACTGAAAAACTATAGTGTAAAGTCACCCGAACTGCAAAACTTTAATGCAAAGACACCTGAACTGAGAAACTATAGTTTAAAGGCACCTGAACTGAAGAACTATAGTGTGAAGGCACCTGAACTTCAAAACTCTAGTTTAAATGCACCTGAACTGCAAAACTCTAGTATAAAGACATCTAAATCAAAAATTTAAAGAACTAAACGCCATAAGATAATTGATTTTCATCGCAAGATTTATTTACCTCCAATATCCACTTCTATTATTACCTTTAAACCTCTCTACCTTCCCCCTTCTCTCCCCACTACCCCAACAACACAACTTTTGAATTTTTAATATCGGATTCGATAACTCTAATGGGATTTTTTTTATTCTTCATTGGCTTTAATGTAATTCAACCTCTTTCGTGTACACAAAATCATCGTTATGTATCATTTATGAAACAACTTCCTTTCTGGCTCAAGAAGAAAAAAAGCCAATTATGTTAAAAAAGGATGCTGACACCTCAAATGTGTACGTTTTTTGGGGCTTAGAAACTTCTCCGTGTCTACATCTCAATATACTTTTTTTATTATCCGTTTTCTCCGTGTCCGTCAGTTGGAAAAGGGCAATTTGTAGATGCTGTGGGAAAATTTCGTATTCCCACATCAACTTGTCGAGCAGGAACATCAACTTTGTTAGGGAGGGAGGAGATTTATATTTCAGTATTACATGTGTGATACTGTTGAGTCGGTGATAGCTTAGTTGAGTCTGTCAAGGTTCTGTTGGGTTTTTCAAGGCTTAGTTGAGTCTGTTATAGCTTTATTGAGTGTATCATGTCTTTGTTGAGTCTGTCAAGGCTTAGTTGAGTATGTCATGGTTCTGTTGAGTCTGTCAAGGCTTAGGTTAGTCTGTCAAGGCTTTGTTGAGTCTGTCATGGACTTGTTGAGCCTGTTATAGTTCTGTTGAGTCTGTCATGTCTTTGTTGAGTCTGTCAAGGCTTAGTTGAGTCTTTCATGGCTTCGTTGAGTCTTTTCAGGCTTAGTTGAGTCTGTCAAGGTTCTGTTGAGTCTTTCTTGGCTTAGTTGAGTCTGTCAAGGCTTAGTTGAGTCTCTCAAGGCTTGGTTGAGTTCTCAAGGCTTGGTTGAGTCTGTCATGGTTCTGATGAGTCTGTCATGTCTTTGTTGAGTCTTTTAAGGCTTAGTTGAGTCTGTCAAGGTTCTGTTGAGTCTTTCTTGGCTTAGTTGAGTCTCTCAAAGCTTGGTTGAGTCTGTCATGGTTCTGATGAGTCTATCATGTCTTTGTTGAGTCTTTTAAGGCTTAGTTGAGTCTGTCAAGGTTCTATTGAGTCCTTCTTGGCTTAGTTGAGTCTGGCAAGGCTTAGTTGAGTATCTTAAGGCTTAATTGAGTCTCTCAAATCTTGGTTGAGTCTGTCAAGGCTTAGTTGAGTCTGTCATGGCTTAGTTGAGTCTCTCAAGGCTTGGTTGAGTCTGTCATGGTTCTGATGAGTCTGTCATGTCTTTGTTGAGTCTTTTAAGGCTTAGTTGAGTGTGTTAAGGATCTGTTGAGTGACAAGGCTTTAAAAAGCGGAACAAACCTTTAAAGACACATAAAAATTCAAAAAATTCAATAATTTTTCTTTTTTTCCCCAAAATACATTCAAAATCCACAACAGACTCCACAAAGCCTCACATACCTTACCAATACTCCCCTCCCGACCACTTCAAGATAAGTTTGAATAATTTTTTATTCTCTTCAATAAGAAAAAGGAAAGAAAAACGGATAAGACAAGCACAAAAAAGTTCTCAGTCTTCTTCTTTCTCCACTTTCTTCCATCCTAAACTCAATGAGGAAGTAAAGAAGCAGCTTGTGTGTGACGAAGGAAATAAAGAAAAAAAGACCATTTTCCTTCCTTCTCGGATGCTTTTTTAGTTTGCCATGCCAATAAGCCATATCGAATTGTTGTGGATGAAAAATTATAGTGGAAAATGAGACACGTTTGGGGCTGCTTGGCGTGAAGATTTATAGATTGCATGCATTCTTAGGTCAGTTTTTGATTCAGCACTGCTGAGTATCTCAGACAGCTCAAATTTAAACATCCAAGCTCCAAATCCCCTCAAAAGTCGATAAAAACTTTCCATCTTTTCAAGCAGACAACACAAAAAACTGAGCAAAATTTTTTCCTGTCAGGAGATCCTTCAAAGTTGAACAAAAACAAGCAGCATGAAAAGAAAGAAATTTTTGAGGATTTGCTGAAGGTTAAAAAAGGTTTAAAAGTGTTTTTGATTTCAGAAGGAAGCTTTTGTTGAGCTTCATCATAATTCAAGTTGGATCGCTTGCCTCTTACAGACACTTTTTGTGAGGCTTCAGTTCTGTAATCAATACTTTTTGAGAAAAGTTTTTCCCATTTTGTCTGTTCAATGATGATTTTCTGCTCATTTTTTGTGATTTTTCACTGTTTGGAGTCTTTAATGGGTGGACAGAGGGGTGTGGAATGGGAAAAATCGATTATTTAAAGATGAAAAAGCTTTTGTTTGTGGAATTATGTTTACAAGGGTGTCAAACTATGAAAATTGAATAATATGAAGGGATGTTAAACGAAGGATATTAAGAAATCTGAAAGGTTGTTGTGTGTCTAAAGATATCTAAAGGGGTGTCAAACTAAGCATCAAAAACTGTACAGGGGTGTCAAACTAAGCATCAAAAAACTGTGAAGGGGTGTCAAACTGAGCATCAAAAAACTATAAAGGGGCGTCAAACTAAGCATCAAAAACTGTACAGAGATGTCAAACTAAGCATCAAAAACTGTACAGGGGTGTTTAACTAAAGATTTTAATGAATATGAAGGGGTACCAAACTAAGAACGTTAAGGACTCTCAAACGGTGTTAAACTAAGATCTCTAAGAATTTAGAAGGGATGTAAAACTAAAGATTTTAGTAAATATGAAGGGATGATAAACTAAGAATGTTAAGAATTTTGAAGGAACGTCGAACTATACACCTTAAGAATTTTATATGGGTATAAAACTAAACATTTTTGTAAATCTCAAGAGGTGTCAAGCTAAACACTTTAATAATAATAACACGCGACTTAAAGACCAAAAGTTCAACACGAGACAATCCCACGAGCATTTTCACAATTAGCATGCCGTGTCAAAAGCGAAATAGAAATTATCATTCATTTATCATCAATAAATACTCGTCATTAATAATCTTTTCCGATATTTTTCATCACGTAATTCCATAATTTTCACATTTTTTTGTTCGGAGACGAGAAATTTCTCATTTATTAAAATTCATTTTTCAATTTGTCGCTTCAAAAAGAAGATTTTTTGAATTTTTGCTCATTTCTATTTGCAATTTATCACGCTAATTGTGAGAAAAAGTTAAAGATTATAATTATGACGATAATAAGTTAAAAGTTTCTTCATCTATGTCTTGATAATGTGGGTGCGACGGCTTCATGTTGATGATGAATGAATTTCATTGAATGTGCTTTGTAATAACTGAATTTTGGTATTTTTAGAGACGGTTCTTGAGGTATAATCAGCTAATTAAGAGAAATTTGAGTTTAAGAAAAAAATGTTTCAAGAAGAATTATTAAAATTTGCTTCGAAAATAAGGAAAAAAATTAATTTGAGAAGGAAACTCCCACTTTGAGTTTTAAAATCGCTTTAAGGCAGATTAAATTTCATAAAATGTTGCCTGTTTTTGTGTTTTTGTGTACAAAAAGATGGCAAAGGTCAAATTAGAGCTATTTTACTTCGAAAATGAGAACCCAAATGAAGGAATTTAAAGAATTGAGTTATTTTGTGTTTTACAATAACACGATAAGCTTAAAATTTGATATTGTTGAGGGATTTGATGCAATTTTTGCAGTTTTTGTATGCGAATTGAAATGAAATTCAACTAATTGAGCCAATTTGATCACTTTAGCCCCCTAAATTTCCTCAAGACTCAAATTAATTTAAAATTAAATGAAGCCAATTCAAACTTTTCAAAAAAAAGCCTTCCAAATAACCTTCAAAACTTTTTCCTTTTTCAACCAATTTATTAAAAAAAATTCACAAAACGAAAACTTTTTTATGCTTCCATTCGCAGATGTTTTGTTCCTTGTCTTCTTTGTATTTAAATTGTATCATGATCAATTGATTCCCCCTCCTCGACTAGCTATCTCTCAATATATCTTTACGATTTATTTAAGATTTAGATTAATATTATTCGATAAATATGAAAGAAGAGATAAAAAAAAGTTTTCTTAGGCAAAAACTGATGGCAGGTGCGAATGTTGCAGAGGCTTGATTGGTACTGTAGATTGTTAGTGGATTATGGATTGATATTAAATAAGTTTTAAGATGATTTTTTAAAAAAATTATGTACTAGTGACACATAGAAATATTCAGAAATTCTAAAAAGGGGTGTGAAACTACGAACATTAAAATTTGAAAAAAGGTTTTGAAACTACGAAGTTCAAAATTAAAAAACTTGGTTTATAGTAGCACATTTCAAACAATCTTAGATACAGTAAGCACCTCGACCGCCAATAGTACAAATAAAATCCCAAAATTACCTAAAAGTAAAAACAAAGGCACATTAGTGAAAAAAATCTCTTTTTTTCCTCAACTTCTTTTCCAATCTTTTCCTTTCAAATGACATATAATTTATTTTGTCTTTTATATGAGCAAGAAATTGAAATTGAAAGTGCTAAACACACACACACACACTTGCATAGCTGAAAAGAACTTTGAAAGAAGAAAATTGAGATTAATGTGACAATAAAATTGACAATTTTTTCTTATTAAATAGCAAAAAATGAGAGTAGGAGATAAATGAAGATGAGATTCATTTGAAGATTGCAATCAATACATTATGTGTCTGTCACATTACATTGCAACTATTTATCACTTTCTTTCTTTTTTAACAATTGATTTAAGGAATCGATTACGATTTCAATTTATTTTCTTTCTGTCTATCTTTGTTTTGGATGATTATAAGTTGATGATGCGAAAAGTTTTGTATAGAAAATTTGAGATTTATCAGAGTTTTGGGAGGTTCGTTGTTTGATACCCCTTTAGAAAAATTTAAAGTTCTTAGTTTGATACCCCTTTAAGAATTCTCAAAGTTTTCAGTTTGACAATCTATTCTAAAATCTAAGTATTTTGTAGTTCAACCCACTATTTTCCAGAATTCCTGATGTTCGTAGTTTGACACCCCTTTGCAATCAAAAGAAGCCATTATATCCAAGTTTCTTAATCTAGCTGTTTGACTTGACATCAGTTCATTCCACTATATTTATAAATAAGCCAAAAAGATATAAATATGAACAGAATAATGAAGTAAGCATCAAATTTAAATGAATAATTTGAAATATTTCAATTTATTTATAAACTTGTAATGAAATTTAAATGGAATGTAAAATGAGAATCCCACAATGATGATGTTGCGGAGGATTTGGAATGCTAAATATGAAGTTTATGAATGAAATTTGATGAGAAGAAGCAATTTACTGTATTGTCAGTAGGTTTTAAATAACAAAGCTGATGATGCAGATATAGATTGGAGGTCATTGGCAGTACAATGCTGAAAATTAATATGAATATATTGTAAAGCCTTAATTACATCATTAATATCAATTTACTAAATCAGTCTATGGTCAATAAAAATCAAATCGAGCTTATTGAATTGTTTTAAATATTTTAATAATATTAAAATTGATTGTGGAAATAATGGGATTTGTGAGGTTTACAGTTAGACCAGTTGAAAGCCATTGCAGTTTTGATAGAACTAAAATATATAAAGGCTGATTATTGATATCATTAATTATAACGCAATTTAATTCGTCAAAATTTTCTTAGAACAATATTTCAATCCTGCCGGACAGAAGCTCTCAACAATTCAAAAATTCAAATGTCCATGAAACCAATAACACAAAAATAAGAATCAAAATTTTTACCTTCTATCTACCTAACCTCAATCTTTTTAAGCACATAAAATAAGAAGAACATATTTCCTCAACTTGTTTAAGGATTTTAAACAAAATGACAAATGAGAAAGTTTTACTCAACAATTAATTGATGCCTTTCAGCAATTTTTCTCAATTTATCATTAGACCTCAAAGAATTTTTAATCTTGCCTCGTGTTTTGTGACCCTTTGTTGGGCTTTGTCTTGAAGTTTTGATTTCTTCTTTTGATAAAGATAAAAAAACTAACCTCAAAAAGGTAAACAAAAGATTCCTGATGAGAAGGAAAAGAGAATTAATAAAGTTGTTGAGTTCAGTGCTGCTGTACTTGCTAAATTTAGCATTTCTGAATTTGTTGAATTCAGCGTTACTGAACTTGCTGAATTGAGCATTTCTGAACTTGCTGAATTCAGCATTTCTGAACTTGCTGAACTTGTTGAATTCAGTGCTGTTTAACTTGGTGAATTAAGCGTTGCTGAACTTACTAAATTCAGCGTTGCTGAACTTACTAAATTCAGCGTTGCTGAACTTACTAAATTCAGCGTTGCTGAACTTACTAAATTCAGCGTTGCTAAACTTTCTTAATTAAGTAGCGCTGAATTTTAAAAATTCAGCATTTGTTAATCATCATTCAAAGCACAGCTATAAATTTAATTTTCTAATCCCATCATTATTATCATCATCCTCAACAGCCATACCTTATTCAGTTTCATTCCAAAATCAATTTATCACAAAAGCTCTACTTAATTTTTTATATCCTTCCAACTTTATTGTCTACAATAAACATTAAAATCAAATCCAATCTTATTCTTTCACTTTCAACCCAAAAACAAGTCACTGGCATCTACAAGACGGTCCCTTGTCACAAATTGAAAAATTACAGGACAGTAAAGAATTTTTTTTTGTTGTTGCTGGTTCTTGTTACTTATGAACTGAACAGAAAAGGGACATGTTTTTGAGTAAATGAGAAGGCACAAATGAAAATTGGATTAGAGACAAATGAAAATTTGTGTTTTTGGACGTGGGAGTGAGAAGCAACGATGCTCGCTTTTGTGAGATGACCCTCGAGGGGATAATAAAAGGGAAATTAAACTTACGGTCTTAAGGTGAAGATTTTTCTTTTTTTTATTGCTTGCTGTATTTCATGTTATTTTAATAGACAGAGTTACAATGTCGATATTAATAGCTCGATTTGAATGGTTAGATCCGGTTTCAGGAAAAGAAGAGGAAATTAAATATGGTTGAGATGAATTTATTACTTTAGGAAATTAAGGTAGCTTTGATGCTTAGTGGTTTGGTATTTATAGTGATTGAAAACTGAACACCATTGCTAAATTTAGTATTAATAAACTTAGCTGAATTCATTGGAGCTGAACTTGCAGAACTTGTTAAATTCAGCTCTGCTGAACTTGCTGAATTCAGCTGTGCTGAACTTGTTAAATTCAGCTATGTTGAACTTGGCTTAAATTACCTGAACTGAACTAAGCTTAATTCAGATGAAAACGAACAAAATATTGCATAGCAGTCAAAACTAAGATGAATTGAATATCCTTTTATCAAAAAGATACTTCTCATCGAAACCAAGCATAACACAGCTTCTTTGAAAGAAGTTCCTTCACATCCATAACATCGTACAGCACCTGAATGACTTCTTGCAATGAATATCATAAATTAGCTTCCATCAACTTTATAAAAATATTATCATATTAAAAATAAGAAGCATCTCAAAAGAATCTGAGTAATAAAATGACAAATTCCATAATGAATTGCGCTTTTCAGTTTATTAAAAAATACTTTTCTTATCAACACAAATCAGCAGAGACGATGCCACATCTTATGCATCATAGCACGACAACATATGTTAATGCATAGAAGCTCTAGAGAAAGATGACGTTAAAGTTGCAAGTTACAAGCAGAAAAGTTCATCAGTTTAAATCTAAATAAATGGAATTTTTGCATTTAAGTAGCTCAAGTAGCTGCATTTGTAGCATGTGACATTCATGTTTTTAGAATCAAGATGGAGGAAAAAAAAGCAACAAGACTGAATGTCAACGATAAGTAACAGTTTTGTGTCATGATAAGTTTTTGAGGTTGCATTGAGCTGTGTGGGTGCAACGATGTGGAATTTTTGCAAAACTTAAGGAAATATTTTTTTGAAATTTGAATTTTCATCATGTTGGGTGGGTTGTGAACTTTTCGGTAGATGTAGAATAAGAAATAATTGTGAAAAAGCTTCCATCTTCAATCTACATGCAGTCAGTATCATCAGATCTATTTCTGTTCACAAATTGAATGGATCATTGATAACAAGCTTGATAAAGCCACAAACAAGCTTATGCATGAATAAATTTGACATTCACATCAGATTGAAAACTTTCATCGATTTTGTTTTTTTTTATAGAAAAATTGAGAAATTGAGCTCAAAAGTTGACAATTTCCTTGACATTATCAAGTTATAAAATATAAAATTCACAACAAAATTCCAATAAATCACCGAAAAATCTCTAAACACATCAACCACACCCTTCACTTGCCTTAAAAATTACTAAAAATAACTTCAAAAAATGTGCAAACTCATTCACAAATAGAACTAGAATCTAGGATAGAAGCACAGATTTGTCATAAATTTATGCTTTATTCCGTAAGAAGCTTTGAGTGTCGTGTGATGAATGAACGCGTGGAAAATGAAAGTGAAAAGGAAAAGGAATTATTTTTGCATGAACTGAAGTTGTGCTGGTGTTGGTTCCTGAACTGTATAGTATTTCAGTAACTTATACTAGTTATCAGGCGCGAAGCCAGGAGGATCTTGCCCCCCCCCCCCTTAAATGTTTTGAACCGCAGCGAGAGCACGGCCTAAAACGCTTAAGAGGGGGACAATGCTAGTTATGCTTTATTTAGCAAGTTCAGCGCAGCTGAATTCAGCTAGTTCAGCTCAACAGAATTCAAAAATAACATGCCAGCTGAATTCAACAAGTGCAGCACTGCTGAATTCAGCAAGTGCAGCACTGCTGAATTCAGCAAGTTCAGCACCGCTGAATTCAACGAGTTCTACACGATTGAATGAATTAAACAAGTTCAGCATGTCTGTTTTTAGCTAGTTCAGCAAAACTGAAGTAAGTCAAGTTCAGCACAAATAAATTCATAGGAATTCAACAATTTTTCATTTTTTTTTTCAAGTTCCCAACCCCAAAACATCGACAAAAAAATCAACACGAGTAAAAAAGGTTCAAAAAGCACTCAGGAAGAACCACAAGTGCCTCTAATGCGAGAAAATATTTCAAATCTCATCATGGAGAGTGAAATGTAGAGGAACAGAATAGAAAATAAGCGAAACGCGAGTGTTCATAAATAAACGGCACATGTGTTGCTCTTGACTGTTCTTGAACTCGTATTTACATGCTGTTGCTGGGATACTTTTTTTTTGAGAGGAAGAGTTCGTGTGGCATGAGTATGGGGATATTTTGGGAACTGAGAGCCTCAAAGATTTTTAAAATCTCAAAATTTTCAAGAACAGAACATGCTGAAACCTCAACCCTAGCAAAAATATTTGACTAAGACTGGCTGAGCAAGCAAATATGAGATTTCCGTAATAAAAAATATTTTCACGAAAATTTTTCGTCACATTTTTGTGATTTTCATTTTTTTTTCATCTCTTTTGCAGCCCACGCACAAAATGTAAGAAATTTTTCATACTTTATGATATAAAATGTGATGTTCTATGTTTTCTGAGGATTTATGACTACATGATGAAAGGATTCATTTTATGAATGTTGATGTTGATTCTGAGTGGATGGATATGATTTAAATATTTGTTGAGGATTTGGTGAGCTGAGATTGATGAAAATTTTGGAATTATTTAAGGTTTGAGAGTTATTAAATTGAGGTTTTATAAGATTAAACACGGTCTAACGTTGTCTGCAGCATGTTACATCACCAGACCATGCATACTAATCTGATGTAACACATAACTTAAGTTTTGAAGGTCTGCAGACCCTAGAGACCCTTTTAGACCAACCAGTTCTTTAAACTTCGTCGATTCTGAGCATTTTTTAGACTTTTGGACCTCCCTGACCCTATGACAGGGGCGTAGCCAGGGGGGGCCATAGGGGGCCCGGGCCCCCCCTACGAAAATCTGATAATTGTTTTATTAAGTGTTTATAGAGAAGAACCAGTTAATGTAGAGGAAGTGATGAAAGAAATTTCAAAATCACCACGAAAAATTAAATTTAATGTATGAATAATAAGTTAAATATTTAAACTTATGAAGAATGAATATAAATTTAAGGATACAAAATAACGGTTTTTTTAATTTTCGAAAATGGGCCCCCCCTTAAAAATTTTCTGGCTACGCCCCTGCCCTATGAAACTACAATAGTTGTTCTTATTCTCGACTAATCAACCCGTGGCACCACTTTTCCCCAATGAAATCTCAAAACTCATCAAAACCTATCCAAAACATTAAAAAAAAAAGTTAAATATTTTCATTACTTTTCCACCGAATTTCATCTTTTGAATTTTAAATTCATTTATTTTAGACTTAAGTACAGGAAAAAGTCTGTGTAGGCTGTCTGGAAAATGTCAATATTTAATAAAAAGCTTTTTACAGAAACTCAAGAAAAGAAAATTCATTCATTTAAAATTGTTCGCTCATGAAAAATTACGTTATGTAAATACAGCAAAATATTTTCTTGGAAGAATTTTAAATTAAACAAAATTTCTTTTTCAACTTTTTTTCTTTCTTGTTTGTTTTGGTTTTTGTTATTTTTTAATATTTAACTTATTTTGAGATTGGATTTTGGGATGTTTTAATTTAAAGATTTGAATTGTGTGTTGAGGCAGAGTAAGGATGGTTCTAGGAACAATTAAGTGATAATTTAAGAATTAATTGGTTATGGAAGCTTTAACAATGTTAAAAATGTTTGAATTTTAATGTTTTTATTATATTTTAATTTTTGAATTTTCGAAATTTTCAACTTTTTTCAAATTTTCAGTTCTTTCAAATTCTTTTAATATTTTCAATTTTTTCAAATGTTTCAAATTTTTCAATTTTTTTTAAATTTTTCAAATTTTTCAAATGTTTTATTTGTGACTTTAACAATTTTGAAAATATTTCGTTTAGATTTTCGATTTTTTTCTCAACTTAAATTAATTTTTTATTTAAATTTCAACCATTTTAAAAATTGAAATGAGATTAAAATGAAAAGATAAATTTAAAATTAAAAATACATTAAATTATAAAAAAACTTTATTTTTTAAAAAAAATTTATCAATTTTTTTAAAAAGAATTTTTGTAGATATTTTCTTTAAATCCTTAAAAAAATTCACTTTAAATAAAGAATAAATATTTAAATTTTCCCAAAGAACTTTATCAACTTTCTCACCGTTGTTTGTTTTCCTTCTTCTTATTTTAAAAACGTTCTCAACAAGAAAATTCTTTCAAGAAAAGCAAAAAAAAGAAAAACTTTTTTCCCTCTTTCTTGTTTATACCTTAACGACAGTTTAATGAAAAAAGAATGGAAAAATAGAGTCAAAAGAGATGTTTAAGCAGAATAAAATAAAGAAAAAAATACGGAATTTTGTTTTTGCGTCGCTTGACGATAAATTATTTTCATATTTTAAAATAAAATATACATCAGAAAAAAGAGAGAATTTGTACAGAATGCCGAGATGTAAATGAGCTTTTAAGAGCTTTTATCTTAGTCAGGCTATAGCTTCCTTTCTTGATATGCCATTAGGAGCAATTCAATGCAACTTAAAGCTAGTTTATAGATTCTATTAAGTTATTTAAAGCTATCAATATTTTTAAAGAACCATTGCGATTTTAATCAATATTGATGGTCCCCATCAAAGAGTAGGAACGGCTCCTAAAACCACCTTACAGCCCCAGATTCATATGCTCCTCGGACAAAGCAAAAAGTTATTCGTGGGATGAATTGCAGATTATTTATGCGAAGGATTAAAAATTTCTTTTTATTTTTCTCTCAACGAAAGAAGAATTAAGAATCATCGGAATGAGCCTGAACTTAACAAAAGACTGAGGATTAAAGTCAAGCATGAAAATTTCCTCATTCTTAAAAAGTCAAAAAAAAAATGTAATTTTAATCCCGACAAGTGGAAATTTTTGATTAAATTTCGATGGATTAGTCACTGTGGAGATTCAGGCTTTATAGTTCTTGTGGCGAGGATTTACTTTTTCATTTAAATTTTATAAAATGTCTTTGAATTTTTTGGAAAACTTTTCCTGCTACTTTATCGATCCAGTTCTTCAAAATTCCACAATAGAGAAAACTGCCACGTTTTTGGTCCATTTTAGACAGTTTTTACAGCATGTATCCCGTACATCTCATATATAAAATGAGAATATCCAGAAAAAAGTCCAAAAACCCCAAAGAAAACCAATAAAAATTCCCCACAAAAAAATAATTCATTCCACTTACCCTTAATAAAGTCCACAGCCATCTCCAGTCCGTACGTATCCTTATCACAATCATCCAAAATCAATGCTCCAATTTTAACATCCGGTCCAAATAATTTCATTTCATTAATTCGATCAAGTGTAAAAAGCATAGCTTCAAGTGCCTGAATGCCACCTTGAGGCATAATTGGTCCACAAGTTGCATTGTCTTCACGCTCATGGACCATCATGAGACCACCGAGAATGACGTCACCTTCGACAACTGATTCTTGCTTGTTTGGCCAGTGGATATGCTCACCAGACATTTCCTCAAAATATTTTCGTTTATGACGTCCGTAGAAGTAGTGACCATGCTTGAGGCTTAAAAGTGCTGAATTTGTGTCATTTATTGTGTAAAATTCATTGAATCGAATGTGATGGTGACGGAGATGGCTTTTGTGGTGAAATTCGAGTTGTTCTAAGTTGTGATTGTGATAAGAATGGACCTCATTGAGGGATGTTAAGGATGCGAGGATCAAAAGCACTGGAAAACTTTTATGAGTTTTCATCATTTTTTTTATTTGTCTTCTTGGAAGTTTGTTTTTTGTGATTTATAAGGTTCACATTTTTTCCTGGTTTTTCAACACTTTATTATATTTTAGGCCAATTCCGATTGGATTAACTTACTTATACAATTTATTATTATTTTTAGGTTATGTCTATAGACATTCAACAAAAGCAACAATATTCATTTGAATAAATAAATGTAGCCACAAGATAGCACGTCCGATGAGTAATTAGTGTCAATTTCTGTCTGCGATGATAAAAATAACAGAAAATCGATGAATTTTACATTTAGTAAATTTGTTTTGTATCGATTTTAAAAGAATTATTTATTTTGGATTTATTTCATTATTTTGAGCATCAAATGAGGCTTTGGATGACTTAACCTCAAATTTTCGATTGCTTAACCTCAAAATTCATCACAAAAATGTCAAAACTTTATCTCCAATAACAATTTATGACATGACAATCTCGTCATCATTATTTTAATGACACCAACACACAATTTTTTATTTTATTTTTATTTTTGGCAATAAATTTGCCTGTCTGGAAAAGCTCGCGTCACGCATTTTGACATGTTTTAAAGCTTTTCATGAACTTTTATTTTTTATATAAATTTTGACTGTCAGATGAAAATTGTCTTGTCGCAAACACATGCACAGTTCATGTCACCATGATGAAGATAATTTATCTAAAATAAAATAAAATGTAAAAAAAAAACATTTTTGACGTCAAATTTCGTTTTTTTTTTATCGTGAAAGCACGCACAGCAACAGCAATCTGTTGATTCTGGTTTTACTTTTTATTTTACTTTTGGTGTCTGGATGGATTTAAGGAGTAAATTTTCTTGATACTTTTCATGTTGTTTTGGATTTGGAGTTTTTTTGATGGTTTTGTGTTAAAAAAATTATTTTGAGATTTTTATTCATTTTTCAAAATTTTGAATTGATTTTTTATAAGTTTATGAACTTTGTTATTTTTGGTACAAACCGGAGTTGTCAGAAAGGTATCTTTTGAAAGATTCAGAGCATTAAAGCTTTTGACTTTGTCGAGGCGTATTCATAGGTATTGCCTATTGTTTGGCATGCCTTAATAAAAGTAAATTTTGATGCCTTTCTAAAGGCAATGCCTGGGATAGATTTTTGCCTTTGATAGGAAAATGGTAGGCATCAACTCTGGCACAAACTTTTAAAATCAACCAGAAAAAGCTTATGTGGGCTTAATGATCAAACTATGGTTCAAAACCGAATGGCATATAGATAGACATAAGAGAAAAAAACAATACAATGGGAAAGTAATACCAATTGTTTTCAAATATTTTACGAATTTTCATTAGTTTTCCACAATATTGTTAATGAAAATCAGTAGGAAATTTTTGTAAACTTTTTTCATCATGCTGCTTCCCATTTTAGCCAATAGCACCATTTAGAGGTCAAGTTTTTATCATCGCAGCCCAAAGTTGATCTAACCCGATTGGCACAAGTCGATCAGAAACCAATCCGACATGATTCTATAATATTGCTGGATTTAAATCGAAGCCAGCACCATGTACGAGTTATGCTGACTGGATTCCGGATTTATATTCATTTAACCGACTTCTTCTATTCGTGCAACCTTAACTCTAGGTATTATTTAAGCATTCATTTCGTTATGTTTATCCCTAGAGTCCTGACTAACAGGAGTATCGCCTTACACCTTCAAAAATAATTCCTTGGTTCAATATTCCTCGATTTAGTCCACATTGCCTTGAATTTTCTAAATTAAAAAAAGACAAAAAATAGTGAAGCTTTATAAATAAAATGTCTCAAAGATTGTGAAATAGTCCAAAAGCATTGATATCGATGAAGCATGTTCTGTATAGAATCCTAATTTTTCGAATGGTTCCGTCATAATTCAGCAGCTTTTATTTAATTGACTCAGTAAATTTGATGGTTAAGTCTCGCAGTAAAAAAGAATAGTCAACGTAGCAGCAATAAATTTGGAAATAAGGCCATATTAAAGCTCATTTAATAACTCACACATACACACACACACACACACACACACACACACACAACTTAAGTCATACATAATTTGCAGGCTCTGAGTCTTTCTTTGGTGGAATTTGCATCTAAATATAGCATGTATCCTGGAATAATAGTCTTAATAACATCTGTGGTCGCTGAGACGTATCAAAAGTTGCTTTAGTTATGACCCAGTCCATTCCTCTACTTTTTTTACGTTAAAATCACTTGAAACTGATAAATACACTAAAGTTTATTAAAATGAATACTCTCGAACCTTTAAAACAGGTTTAGACCCCCTTAAAAGGCAAATGAACTCATCTGAGTGCTTCTGAATCCAATCAAACTTCCTCATCAAGTTTGCACCCACACAACATTATCTTTCAAGCTATGCCGTTGAAAAAAACAGAACAAAATTTACCTAAATCACCCACATAACCTCAAAAACAGCACCAATATCCAAAACATACAAAAAGAAAAAAAATTAAGAAAAAATTCACTCAAAAGCTAAGACTTTAAATTACAACAAAAAAATGTTAATGTCGATGCCATTTACGAATTGAAATTGCTGTAATTTGAATAAACGAGCGACAATTTCATTTTCTGTGCTTTTTTAAGAATTTTTTCCTTTTTCGTACAAAGAACAAATAATTGAAATATTTTTTTCCTTTTTTTTGTAATGTCTTTTGTACCATTTAGCCTTGGGAAACGATTCTTTTGCATTTAATTTTGTGCAATAAAGCAGAAAATGGAAATTTATTTTTCATTGATTGAGTTTTTTTATTTGTGCATGCAATTGGGTTGCTTTGAGGGATGGTCTTGATGGCTGGTAGCAAATGGGAATTTAAGGTCATTTAAGACAGCTCTTGGGGTTTATAGCTTGGTTTAGTTGAATCTCCGAAGGTTCTAGGTACTTCAAAGAAGTTTTCAAGCTTCAAAACTGTTCTAAAAGTTTTAATATTGCCACTTTAATCCAAACTGCACAAACGATCCTAAATTCTCAATTTTTTAAAAATTCCATATAAAACCATGAACATTGCATAGCAGTCATACCAACCAATCCCATTTCCTCCCTTACTTACAACTCAATAATCATAATTACATTCATAATCCACATGCTGAACGGAAGCAATGAGCTTTAAATGTCCATCAACATCGACATTCAAATTGCATGCAAATCCCCACCAAAACTGATCGATTAGACTCGAGTAAATCTATTCATTATTCTAATTAAGTTCCACATAAAATCGATTCGCATTTCCAATTTTCTTTATTTACATCCATTAAAGCTTGATCGAGCATGAATTAAATGCTGTTGATGTGAATGGTTATTAGGGAAGATGGAGGGAGGTTAATGGATATTGAGGTATTAGGAAACATGAAAATTGAATTTTTTGGACAGTAATGGAAGCGATTGAATGGCAGTTAGCAGCTGTGGTCAGATTTGATCAAAAATATTAATTATTGTTTTGCTCGATTTAATTTTGCTGAGTCAGTTGTCTTTATTTTTGGAGCCAAATTCATTGCCGACTTGAATGGGGGGTTAGGAGTGTGCCAGGAGGTAAGCAACAGCTGTAAAAGTGTGACAATCAAGCTGAAATTAAGTGCATCTTAATCTTTGAAGTTCATAACATCAATAAAACCAAAAATCAATGACTTTTTGACAACGCTTGGCTCGTAAAATTCACAATTTTTATTTTTATTTCAAGTCTTCTATTAAACGAATTCAAATTGCTCATTTTAAATTAAATTCTTGATGCCAAAGCATTTTACACCTTAAGTTCAATGGGCTCGTTCACTTATTACGTAACGCAAAAAACGAATTTTTAGACCCCCCCCCCCCTCCCCCCCCCCCCCTCCCCCCCTGTAACAAAGCGTAACAAAATCTTAGACCCCCCCCTCCCCCCCTAGTGCGTTACGTAATAAGTGAACGAACCCAATGAACGTAGAGTTTTGTAGCATTTGATTGACTTTTATGAGGTTGATTGCATGATAAGTTAAGCACCTGGAAAGATTTCTGATACAAATTACTCAAATTTTTCCATAAATCTATGAAAATTCTTTAATAAAAAGCTTTAGAGACAGTTATGACTGTTTGTACGGTCACTCGAATCTCTTGGTATCTTGAAAGTCCTTATTATGTTCAAAAAAGCTTACTAAGGAGCTTTCATTGCAGTATTAATGCTGAGTTTATGAAGCACTCTACACAAAGTAAAAAGAAGAAATTGAAATGAAATGTTGCAAATAAAAATGTGAATTTTATTTAAATGTTTGTTGCAAAATGGATCAAACAGGCGAGTAATCAGGTTCGTATGACTCCTTTGCTACGATTTTGTTCTTAACTAGGAATTTTTTGGGTTTTTTAACCTCACAAGAAACCCAAATTAAAACCAAAGTTACATTCAAATTTTTTAAGTTCTTTTTATTTTTGGGAGACATTTTGTTCAATTGACATTTTTCTTTGGTAAAAGTAAATTCAGTCCCCTCTTTTAAAAATCCTGGCTAAGCTACTCCTAAATAGCACAAGTCGGTAGTCAAACAGAAATCTGGTACTAAGCCAACAAGATTCTAGCATGGTCCTAGCTACGATTTAAATCCAGCAACACTCCAGAGTGCATTCCTGGTTCAAAGTCATGAAATATGACTTCAGCAGACGAGCATGCAATTGGTGGTTTTCGAGAGGAAGATCCTTAGAGACATCTTTGGACCTAAGAAAGAAAAAGACTTTTACAAGTGCAGGAGCAATACAAAGCTGTATCAGCTCTTTACAGAAGCTGATATCATTAATCATTTTAAAGTACACAGGCTCTGATGGGCTAGACATGTTATGAAGAGACCTGTGGAAGCTCCATGAAGTAAGGTCTTCAAGTTGGACTTTGTGGATGGAAAAAGAGCACGATGAAGAACAAAGAACTCATGGAAAGAGGCTGTTGATAGAAACAGTATTGCATTTGGTATAGGAAATTGGCAAGCGATAGAGCCAGTTTTTGGCGGCATCTGAGGGA